AATAAATAAATATGCATATCTTAAGGGAATAATCTCACTTTAATATTTATCAAATAGTGGTCAAATGCTAATGATGCAAAGGCACCTGTTAAATCTGTTAATACTTTCATTATTCTTCTGTCATGGAGTCTATGGCAGCCCATACAATCACATTACATTTGTGCATCAATACAGTCAGTTATTAAAGTATTTACAGGGGGGGGCTGATTCATAACAGTTCAGCTAATCTAACAAAACATGTAAAGGATGGTAAGAAAAAGATGAAACATTTATGCTACAATGCTGTAAGGTAGAAACAAAGCTCAAAATAAGGCCAAATCGGTTTAAAAAGACAAAATGAACTGTGTGTAAACAACTTATTGTAGGCCTGTCTAACCTCGGTGACTCTTTGACACTGAATTTGAGCAATGTGAACAAACAGGTTTAGGAAGAAAGAAAAAAAAAGTTTTTTCTCTTAAACTATTTGAAACGGTTTGTAAAGCTATGGACTACCTGCTGAGTTCACCAGTAACTGATTATAAAGCTTCTGTCGCACTTCTTCACAATGAAACTGAAATAGTAAAGAAACAGCATGTTATCATGAAAATACCACTGAGATAGATTCTGAATGCTCCATTCATTAACTGAATATTTAAAAAAATATATATATATAAAAAAAAAGTGCTTGGCATGACTGGTCTGATGAGTGTGTGTGGAATGTGAGCAGACCGCTCAGATGAGTTCAGGTTTAAGAGTTTCACTGCACATCACACACACACGCGCGTGCAGATGAGTTTACCGTCTATTGGCATGCTCTTATTAAAAACCCATAATACGCGCAGATGTCTCTAAAATACGCTACATAAAACAAATAAATCATTTGACACCAAGTAGAGAGACTTGAAGACAGGCTATTATAATTAGATTCATCACATGACTACAGTCTTCTGATTTCAACTGTTTCGACTAATTGCTTGTTATAAAATGTAACGAGTCAGTTGCACTCATTTAACCGGAGTGACACGCAGAGCTTTCAAATATACCAAAGCTAAAATATGGACGGTTCATTGGGCTTCAGTGATCATTAATTACAACAAATCAGCCAATTAATTATGTAACTTTCACAAAATACTGCTTGTGTTTGTCAGTATCAATACATCTATGACAAAATCCGAAGCGAAAACACATAAACCGATGCCCCACGACTCATAATATAGACACTGAAACATATTTTTGTGCACAGACTAGTTGACTCTTACCTCACACAGCCGGACAGTTTCACGAGCTCATCTCATTCACTGCACACGCGCTCTTACCGAATCACGGTCATGACGTCACAGAGGTGTGTTCACGCCTGCGAGATTGAATTAATGTTTTTGCAACCTCAAAATCCTTATCATTTAGTTTTGAGCTAGTATCTCTGTGTTGTAGGAAACAGAACAGAATATTCTAAAATACCTTTTATTTACTTTGCGATGTAAAGTAAAGCTCTTATTATTAAAAATAAATAAATAAATCAGAACTCTTCATCAAAAGCAACTTAATTTCTGTTTAATGTAGTTTGATCAGTGGTTATGTGTAGGCCTATTTTGTTTGTGTTTTCCAAATCTTTCAAAACAGCAGAGATCAGGAAGTACGCGTTAACGTTGGTAACTCAGGTTGTTGTACTGTTTTGTACTGTACGTCAAACTTTGGTTACTTACAGAGAGATGGTGCTATCCCGCTACTAGGCTACTGAACTGCAGCGTAACATACAAAATAAAATAAAAATAAAATGTACACATAGAGGCCTACATCTCACAAATAGGCTATATACACCAGGGACCATATACAGTATGTGTGTGTGTATTTAAAATTAACTCTAAAATAAATTGTATTATTAAGCAAAGTGCATTAATATAACTCCAAATTCAAAAACATAATTTAAAACATTAATAAAAACGACCTGAACCACTGAAAAATAAATAAATAAAAATGGTTACCTCTCCCTGCTCTCTACACTTCACCATAAAATATATGGCAAATTACTAGAGAACGTTCAGTCCTTTTTGTCATATAAAAAGTATACCTCTGGTATATTGATTTATTCATGTAATTATTAGGCTACTTCCACATTATTCTGGATAAATCTGAAACAGCATTTCTTTATAAAATAAATAATATAAAAATATAATAAAGGTGACGACTTTTATTTCTTTTTTTTCCACGTCCTTCGCTGTTAATAACTACAAGCAATAATTATGCGGTGGTGACTTCATAATAAAGGTGTAAAGGCCCCTCGGTTGAAATCACAGTAGTGTAATCACATTAAGTAAGCCTTAATACAGGCACATAGCACACTTCATTCTGCTTGATTTATTAGCTATTTTCCTCATGGGGACCAAAAATGTCCCCACAAGGACAAGGATTTTGGATATTGCCATATTTGTGGGGACATTTTGGGTATACCTGAACCACACACACGCACGCACGCACGCACACACACACACACACACACACACACACGTATGTAACTCCTCCAAATGAAACTTCATTTTTTTTTAGACATAACACATATTTTTTAAGTTTAACATAAGTTTCTAGCAGAAGATGGATGCATTTTTCTCAGTCCTGTTACCAAAACTCATGCGTCTTTTAAAAAGCATGTTTAAAAACACATCAATTAATTCCTTTCTTTTCCCTTCAATAAGTGATTACTGTCAAAAAATTATTGGTTACAAGTTCAAATAATTGATGTTTGTGATAAAAAAAATATTTGTCACTATATATGCACACATATTTTTCTAGAAAAAAATTAATAAAAAATTAAGGTTTGTCATTTTTTATAATGTAATTTATTAAACAACTGGATAAATGATAGACCAAACATAATTGAAAAACAATTGTGTTTTAAATGTATTTTTAAGGAAAAAAAATTATTAACAGGAATAAAATAGGGTTACAGGATTGAACATTGAGTAACAGGAATGTGCGTCTGTATTTGTGTGAGGACATGCTGAAACAAATTCCATAAAAGATTTGTAAAACATTGTAAGTACAGATTTGTCAGGAGAAGGGAGAAAGACTAAGAATATGTTGAAAATTAGCAGCTTAAACGTCTTCATTTAAGAATGTATTCTCTCGGTTCATCCTTTGCTCAGGGACCACTTCTGGCACAGGTGCAATGATTCGTTTATAGAATATAGCTGTTCTTCCTAATATCAGCACATTTGCAAATGCAGTTCAAAAAACAATAATTAATATTAAAAGACATTTTATAAAAACAAGGATTCACTGAACCATTCATAAAAACAGTCACTTGTCATTCCTGAATGAATCAGCGTTTTTGGGGAGGCTCCTCGCTAAAGAACCTGGAGGGGGCAACAGGGAAAATGGCAATTCCAGCCACTTTCTCATTTATCCATTGCCTGTCAGGCTACTACCTCTAGCCTAGAGACTGGTGGGGGAACTGAGATAGACTACCTATCTCTTCTAAGGAGCCCTTTTCGGCTGATGGTTGCTTATATATTTGTATCAAGGAGACATACTGACATCGTACAGCCACCTCAAACAAAAATGCTGAAGAGGATTACATAAACTGGACATCCATATTTCTATTTTGTCTTTAACCTTTTGCAACCTTGCCTAAAGTACTGGAGGCTACAAAAATATGAGGAAATATGAGGAAGCGGGCTGCAAATATTGACAGCACCCACATGAACTCTCTATCAACATGCCCATTCCTTTTCAGAAACACGTCAATATAGATTCAGACATCACTATTCCTATGGGTTATAGGGAAGCATATCTCCAAATTTAATATACTGGTGAGGGCAACAGATGAGACAGATTGAGTCCACTGAGCTGCTCTGTCAGCATCCTAACTGCTATCCTGCCCCAGCGGGAAGAATTACATCAGCTTGATCTAACCAAGAGGGGCAACAGATAAGAGAGTGTGATATTAATGACTCAGTCCATTCCCTGATCTGCCATTTACCCATTCACTGGGCCCTAATTCCCTGCAGTAGTAAGATTTAGAAATGTTCCTGTAGAAAAGAGCCAGACAGGAGCGAAGCTTCCTCACAGCAAACAGATAACACACAACGCATGTTTGTCATCACCTGTAATGTAACAGAATCATGGTGATATGCACTTTCTGAAACACATTTTATTAATTGGATTCACACACAAACAAACACACACACACACACACACAGTTGCTTCCTGAAGATAGGCTGATGATTGCAGTCATCAAGATTGCAGTTTATACATATTCCTTGAAAGGGAACTTTATTGTATAAAGCACCATACAAATAAAGGTGACTTGACTTGATGAAAAGAAAATTAGAATAACTTGAAACACAGGAGATGAAGGGTGACCAGAGAAATCAGGTAAATCCAGGAATAGTAACTGAAACAGTCTGTGGAGAGGAAGAGCTTGGTGAAGTGTGACAGTGTATTAATGAAAATAATACTTTTTATATTTACACTATGCATGTTTGTCATCTTAGGAGACATTACGTTACATATTTTCATGTTGTTTTGAGGTAAACAAGATTTTTTTTAACTGTGTAACAGGTATTGAAATTACACTGTTAAATATATATATATATATATGATGTACTGTTGAGTAGAATTTGCCCAAAATTGTTCATTGTCACATCCTAAGTGGTTACCTGATGGAAATGAGGGATTCTCGTTTAAGTGTTGTGATATCATAAGCTGACTTATTCCTGTTCTGTCTCCTCCTCTTCCCTTTCTGTATTGAAACCTCATGGGAGAAGAACAAAAGGGGAATTTCATCTGAGAGGCTGCTTATTTGTTTTCTGTATCAGATTAAATGTCACCGGCCATACATTTAGTTTGGCTTCATGTGTCACCGGTTACATAAAAACAATACGATTTAGGAAATTTAGCTAGACCTATAAGACTGATGCTTGCAGGTTCCTGTTGTTAATCATAGGATACACCTAAAAACTTTTTTTCCCCTCAAATTTTATTTTTAAAACTCAGAAGGCACAGAATTGTTGAAATGACATCTCAGGTTAGGCTTTTGCCAAGTACATTTGCTCTTTGAAGGATTTTGACTTTTTGACCAGGGTAGGTGACAAAGTGTTGATTAGGCCACCAATACATTTCATGTTTATTTCAGTTGTTACAGGAAGTGCTGTATTCACAGATAACAACAAAAAATACCTAAACAAAAACAACAATTTTAAATGTACAAAGGAAGACCACAACAAATAATAACTGAAATAACTTTAGATTATTATTTTTTTTTTGTCTCGAGACCCATGGATTCATTGCTTCACTTCCGTAAAGCACTTTGTAAACACTACTTAAACTATGTCTTCTTTTTTGTGCTGCTTAGCTGAATTGAGCTTGTTTCATAACTTTATGAACTTTACACGGCTATTAAACCGATCTAAAGCAACACTAAATAATTGAGCTGAATAATGGCACAGTTTTTTTTTTTAAGCTGCTACAGCAGAATTGGAATTTTGCCTCATATCTGATCAGGTGTATTTACACATATTCTTATGATATATAATCTTCCTTATCAGTAAAGGTTAAACCTAAAAACAATAGGCAGTGTCAGCAACTCTCTTATAAAGCCTGAAATGAAAACAGCTATGTGTCAGACAGAATTACAGAGATTGCATGTGAAAAGATGCAGATACATTTCATGTCAACAAAAATATTTTTTAATAGATAACACATCATGAAATACATGGGAGGGAACAAAAGACATAAAAAACAGGTTTAATGTAAAAATACTATTCCCAACACAGACCTGATTTTGTTAAGCAGAGTTTAGATTGGTGATGTGTCTCCAGTTTCAATGAGCTCATCTAAACTAAAAAAAAATCTGGATGAGAGACTGTTATTATAAAACTTCTTGCATCAAAATTATACAAAAGCTCCAAATGTTCTAGTTAAAAGTAAAGTTAGACTGGATACAGTACAATTAATCTCCAATGAAAAAGGGGGAAAGAGTCAACAGGGGATGAGGAAGACACCAGATGAAGACTCCCTCAGGGTACCAGTATAAATAATAGTATATGATTTGGTTTGTGCTTATTCAGCTGGCTCTCCTGTATCTCCTTTAGTTTTGGGTTCCTGCCACCATTCAGCCAGGAAAGACTCCTCGTAATCCCCGATTCCCTCAAACTCTTCATCAGGAGGATTTGACAGAGCTGATGCTGCTTCCTCTGAACTTACAGTATCCTGTTAAGAAACACACAGTTCATAACCACGTTAATATCATCAGTCTAATGAATAGGACAATAGGACACACTCAAAAACATGTC